CCTGAGACTCTAGTGGGGTTCAGGCAAGAGTCACCCCAGTCTTCAGGTTCACTGCCCAAGCACGCACTTGAGGAAGTCTGTGGGGGCAGCTTCTTGTTTGCTCCTAGCTCTCATTTTCCAAAAGGCAGACAAGCCCTGGCCGCCTTATGCCCAGGACTCGGTCCACACCATGCTCCATGAGCACCTGCGGGGAGGCTCCTCTCCAAAGTGCATTACCAGGGCCTGTGCTAAATTTTTCAGCAGCCGCTTGCCTCACTAATGGTCCTGGGACATAGACTGAGCCTCCATCCCGGACTAAGTGCTCAGGCCTCCCCCACCTCTGTCCTGCCTGGGCAAGAATCCCAGCACCGCCCCACAGCCCAGCTCTCCCTGCAGCCTTAGCTCCCACTGGCCCCCTGCCAAGGACTCAGGCCTCTGCTGTGAGGTGTGGTGCCTCATTTTACCCAAAATTGTACAAGGTCCCTGTGCAATGCCTGGGAAAGTACCAAGTTGTGTCTCATTTCATTTGGGATCCAGCTGAATTCCCAAATGCTGCCACTGAGCAGGAATCTCAGTGCTCAGAGCCCAGCAGTAGGAGGGGTCTGGCAGCCGGGCCTGGACAACGGGCCTCTCAGCCTCTGGACACTCTGGCCATTGGTCACCACCCTGGCCTTGGTGAGTATTAATTCAATACACCCTGCCTGGCTGATCCCTGAGTCAGAGCCAGGCTGGGATAAACGGATCTCTGAGCCCACCAGCCTGTGACTCCCAAAGACAGAGCTCTTGCTTTATTCTAATTTAATTTCATATATTTTATTATTATTTAGAGACAGGGTCTCTCACTCTATTGCCCAGACTGAAGTGCAGAGGAGCAATCAGAGCTCACTGTAACCTTGAACTCTTGGGCTCAAGCAATCCTCCCATCTCAGCCTCCCAGGTAGCTGGGACCACAGGCTACTTGGGAGGCTTGCCACCATGCCTAGCCAGCACTCTTGCTTTCTAAGCTGAAATCATTATAACACAATCCCCTACTACCTTCTACCCAGAAATGTATCCCCTCACAAAGTATACATTCTTCACCTACCCAATCGCACCATTGTGATTTCTGAGTACTTCCCAGAAAACTGTCTCCACTGGCTCCCAAGTGCAGAGCTCTTCCTCCAGCCTCTGGAATGTCCACCATGTTGATGGTGCCTGGAGGCTACTAACCCCTGGATGAGCTCTATCCAGTGGGATCATGAAGGGAGAATGGAATCCCTGACTGCCCACAGCACAGCTGGGCCCAGCTGAGAGCTTGAGCAAATGCCCTTAAAGCTCAGACTTAACCCAACTCCAGCACTCTCCACTTACACAGACGGCAGCCTGATCCTTAGTGTTCCAGTCAATCCACCTCTGTGTCCACTTAATTCTTTGAAACTAAAATGGGAAATAAGGCCAGGAGCAGTGGCTCACACCTGGAATCCCAGCACTTTGGGAAGCCAAGGTGGGAGGATCACCTGAGGTCAGGAGAAGACCAGCCTGGCCAACATGGCGGAACCCCGTGTCTACTAAAAATACAAAGTTAGCCAAGCATGGTGCCGCACGCCTGTAATCCCAGCTACTCTGGAGGCTGAGGTGGGAGAATCACTTGAATCCGGGAAGCAGAAATTGTAGTGAGCCGAGATCACGCCATTGCACTCCAGCCTAGGTGACAAGCACAAAAGTCCATCTTAAAAAATTAAAATTAAATTAAAATTAAAAATTAAAATATAATGGGAACTAGGATGGGAAGCAAGGAGGTTCCAGCTCAGCCCTCGCCAGCAGATATTCTTGCATCTCTTATACCTGACCCTTCAGGCCAATGCTTCCCAGGCCCAAAAGGGACCTCCTTTTCAAGTATAAGGCTCCCCTAATTCTTCACCCTAGGATTAACTTCTTTCCCAGATGACTGCCTTAAAGAGCTTCTATTCCTTGCAGCAAGAAAATCCTACTCCCAACTCCCCACTGGGTGTGGTCTGGCCTAGACAAGTCTGCCCTAAGAAAAAGGCAAGAAAGACCCTTAGCAATTGAAATAGACTTTAATAAAGATGAGCATTCAAGCATTAAAAAAAAAAAATTTACTGAGCCAGGTACCAGGCCTAGGAATAGAGAGGTGCACCAGGGCTGCCATGTTAGGTGGGCCTGGGCCCCACTGCTGGGGCCAGGAGGTCTTAGAAAGAGTCTGGTTGGCCGGGCTCACACCTGTAATCCCAGCCCTCTAGGAGGCTGAGGTGGACGGATCACCTGAGGTCCACAGTTCGAGACCAGCCTGCCCAACATGGTGAAACCCTGTCTCTACTAAAAATACAAAGTTTAGTTGGCCATGGTGGTGGGTGCCTGTAATCCCAGCTAATCAGGAGGCCGAGGCAGGAGAATTGTCTGAACCCCGCAGGAGGCAGAGGTTGCAGTAGGCCGAGATCGTGCTACTGCACTTCAGCCTGGGCAACAGAGTGAGACTCCGTCTCAAAAAAAAAAAAGAGTCTGGAAGCTTTAGGTGACCCCATGCCCACATCTATACACATACCTTGTACATTATTTATAGATCTGTGTGGTCCACCTATTGACTTTGAAATAACAAGGACCTAGGTTTGAATCTTGAGCCTCAGTTTTCTTTTTTTTTTTTTTTTTTTTGAGACGGAGGTTCGCTCTTGTTGCCCAGGCTGGAGTGCAATGGCGCGATCTCGGCTCACCGCAACCTCCGCCTCCTGGGTTCAGGCAATTCTCCTGCCTCAGCCTCCTGAGTAGCTGGGATTACAGGCATGCGCCACCATGCCCAGCTGATTTTTTGTATCTTTAGTAGAGACGGGCTTTCACTATGTTGACCAGGATGGTCTCGATCTCTTGACCTCGTGATCCACCCGCCTCGGCCTCCCAAAGTGCTGGGATTACAGGCGTGAGCCACCGCACCCAGCCAAGCCTCAGTTTTCTTACCAGTCAAATGGGAACACCAGATAGAGTAAACCAAGTGCAGACGGTGCATTGTAGGCCTTGAACACACTGAATTCCCGCCTCCCCTCACCTCAGGGGACCTCAGGCTCCTTGGATTGTTTGGGATGGAGGCCCAAGGAGGGAAAAGTTCTAGGGTCTCAGCCAAGCTGATTCTCCTCAAGGAATGAGAGTGACCACATGGGCCTGGAGCAGAAAAGGGAAGAGAAGGGTCCCCAAGGATGAGGATTTCTGGGGCATCAGGAAAGAGTGTGGAACTGAATGGCAGAGCTAAGGGAAGACTGGGCCTTGCAACCATCCAAATCAGGCCCTCCAGCTGGGTTCGGGGCTGAGGGAGAGTGCAGCCTGGAAAAGAAAGTGTGGAATCAGAGTTGGCAGCCTTGGGTGGGATTCTGCTTCTGCCACTGCTGGCTGTGTGATGGAAATCTACCACATCAAGCCTCATTGCCTTGTTTTATCAAATGAGGACATTGTACTGAATCACGTGGTCTGCACGATGCCCGTGCATGTGCCTGGAATCTTCCCCTGTGGTGTCCCCTCGATGCCCACGGTGCTTTCTGCACAGGTGCACCACGGCTGCTTACTGTCTCCTGCTGAAGTCTGCTGCGAAGAGGGGCTATGTGGAGGGAAGGCAGTGGGCCTCTCCCTATGAGGTCCTCAGGAGCTGAAGGCAAAGTCAGAAGTAAAAAAAGGGGGGGCACCCCATCCCCAACCAGCTGCCATCCCAGGGCACTCAGCCTAAGGCCACTGCATTTGCATGCTATTTGCATAAATCTGCATATACACTGTATTCCCACTGTGTCTTGTAGGTAATTATTGCATTTAGGCAGCTCTGCATTCTAGGAAGGGGCACAAGCAGAGATGTGACCTCCTGAGCTTCGTGACAAGAAGGTACTCAAAGCTCGTCTCCCACCTCCAGATGCAACGTCTCCCATGGGGCTGTCCTGTCTTGTGTTTGAACCCTGCTCTGGGGCTCCTGCCCACTGCCTATAGTGGGCACCATCAGAAGTTCCCGTTAATTGGGGACGGCAGAGTCATGATATCACTACTCCTCTCTCACTTCTCAGCAGTTCTAATTTAAACCAGATTAGAATCTTCCCGCTTGGTAGTCTAGTAGGGAAATTAGAGTTAACAATAGTTTACTGGCCAGAAGAGAACTGTAACATTTCCAACGCACAAAAAAGATAGATGTTTGAAGTGAAGCACTGAAGTGATGCTCCAGTTACCCTGATGTGATCATCACATATTGTATGCAAGTATCAAAAGATCACATGTACCCAAAAATATGTACAACTATGATATATCAATTCATTTTTTAATGGATTTTTTTTTTCTTATTTTCCTGTGCAGTGGCAGAATCACAGCTCACTGCAGCCTCAACCTGGGGCTCAAACAATCCTTCCAGCTCGACCTCCTGAGTAGCTGGGACTACAGGCCCTCGCCACCATGCCCAGCTAATTTTTTTGTATGTTTTTGTAGAGAGGAGGGTCTCCTTTTGTTACCCGGCCTTGAACTCTGAGCTCAAGGGATCCTCCTGCCTCAGCCTCCCAAACTGTTGAGATTACAGGCATGAGCCATTGGTTCTGGCCGATATATCAATTGTTTTTAAAAAGGGTCTTTTCCAGGCTTCACTGCAACTTCACCTACATCAGGTGTGAGCGGCCTTCATCTGCAGAGACCTGAGGCTCCTTGGATTGTTTGGGATGGAGGCCCAAGAAGGGGGTCTGGGGTCTCAGCCAAGCTGGTGCTCCCCAAGGAATGAGAATGACCACATGGGCTGGAGCAGAAAAGGGTGGAGAAGGGTCCCCAAGGATGAGGATTTCTGGGGCTTCAGGAAAGAGTGTGGAACTGAATGGCAGAGCTAAGGGAAGACTGGGCCTTGCATCCATCCAAATCAGGCCCTCCAGCTGGGTTCGGGGCTGAGGGAGAGTGCAGTCTGGCTCTGGCCATTCTCCTTTCATCCCCCAGGAGCTTCTGGAATCCAGGGAATTTTTTTTTTCTTTTGCTTCAAATAGCTTTATTTCCATTTGGTCCAAGGCTTGTTAGGGTCGTTAGAAAGCTGTCTAGTGGCTGGAGGGAGAGGCTTAGGCAGAAGCCCTGTTATTTTGTAAGGACCCCTTCGAAGTCGCTGGGCTGGGCTCAGCAGGCTCTTAGTCATGCTTGAGAGTGAGCCTTTCGAAGAGATACTCGCCCAGCCCACCCTGCAGGGCTGGCCAGCCTGTGGAGGTCGGTCACATGGTCACCCATCTTCTTGATGATTTTCACTTCGTCATCTAGGAAGTGACTCTCCAGGAAGCCACAGAGATGGGGGTCCATGTGGGCAGAACTCTGGGCATGAAGATCCAAAAGGTCCTGGTTCAGATTTTTCTCCAGGGCCATGGCGGCTTCCACAGCGCCCAGGGTTTTGCCCCCCTCATCTTGAGCCGGCTTCTTGATGTCCTGGAAGAGAGCGTGGCACTGGTTTTGTATCTTCAGGAGACACTCATAGCCCTCGCGCTTCTCCTCGGCCGATTCACGGAAGAAGTGGCTCACGCCTTCCAGAGCCACATCATCACGGTCCAAATAGCCCAGAGAGAGGGAGGTGTAGGAGGCCTGCAGGTACACATGGACCAGGCTGATGACGGCTGCCTCCACCTTGGTGGAATCTGGGAGCCCATGGTTGGTTGGCAAGAAGGAGCTAACCACAAAAACGGTGTTAGCAGGTCCCCAGAAGCAGGAGGTGGCCGAGAAGATGGTCCCAGAGGTTGCAAGTGGAGAGGAAATCGGAGAGCGGTTGGAGGCTGGAAGAAAGAGTCCGGGATCTGTTCTGTCCAAACACTGTTGAAGCAAAAGACAGATCTGCGGGACTGTGGAAGGACAAGGAACCAAGGGCTCATAGGTGAAGGGAGGCGGAGAATTCAATGTGTTCAAGACCTACAATGCACCGTCTGCACACGGTTTACTCTACCTGGTGTTCCCATTTGACTGGTAAGAAAACTGAGGCTCAAGATTCAAACCTAAGTCCTTGTCACTTCAAAACGTTGGTCTTTCTAGGTGTCAAAGCCAGTAGGTGGGCCACGGGTCTAGCAACCCACTTCTCTTCCTGGACTTGGCAGGCAAGAGACAGGACCTTGACTAAATTGCTTTTCTGCAGACTTTGCAGCCCCAGCCAGGGGCCTGCTGCAGGCAGCTGTTTGAACTTGATTAAATGTGCAGCCCCTGGCCTGGGCAGCAGGCTCCCAACACACAAGACTTACCGAGTCCCCTACCTAGACTTCAAGACACAACCCTGAGACTCCACCTGCCAGTTGCCCATTAAGCCCATTCCAACCTGGAATCTTCCTTTGTTGATCCACTCTCCCCATGGCTATCAGGGAGAACGTCTTTCCAGAGATTAATAAGAGCATCCAGGCAATGGAGATGTAGCAGTAGAGGGTGGAAGTGAAACAGACCCAGGGATCTGAATCCTGGCTCTGCCAATTTCTGAGCTATGTCACATCAGACGGTAACTTAACCTCCTGTGCCTCAGTTTCCAAATTCAAAAACAGGGAAAATATAATATGACCATCAAATGAGCTAATACAGTCAAAATGCTTAGATCAGCATATGGGATGTATGTAACAAGCACTCGAAAACATGTTAGCTATTATGATTAAGCAGAGACGCATACCTCCTAAAATCTTCCTGGGCTGCTACTGCCAGCATGATAAGGCCGCACTTCTCACCAAAGGCAAACCAGGCCTCTCATCATCGGCCTCCTCCCTCCCCAGCCCCATCTCCCGAAGTGCCTCCTCCCTCCC